AATGATCAAATACGACGTCTGAAAGTAAAAAAAAACGTCGCTTGTTTTTTGGGACGGAGGGAGCAGCAGGCGCAGGGACGCGCACACACACAACACAGTGTTTTACCAGTGGCGTGACTACACAAAGGCACAGGCATTCGTGGAGCGTCCTGTGATCGATGACGGTCACTTTTCCTCGTGGCGAACCGATCTCCAAACAGTGGAGCGCACGGCCGCACAGGCCATGCACTCACCGAGACCGAGGTGACGTTTCGGACAGAGGGGAGCGAGCGAGTGCATGCAGGTGCAGTGATATGCCGCATCATGCGTGCATGATAGGCTGCGCGATGTTCCATTCCATACCAGTCACGCGCGCGCGTGCGTGGACACCGAGGCATGCATGCACACGCCGGCCGGCGGAAAGCTAGCCACTACCCAACGACGGCCGGCGGACCGGCCGATCGCCTTTTTCTGTTCCCAAACTCTTTTCCTCCGACAGCGGGAGGTGGAGGACACGTCCATGACCATACGATGGATGCGTCGACGAAATCGAACTCGAACCAGTAGTCTTCCACACACGGCGATGGGTCTCTCCAGCGCCAGCAGATTGGAACTGTGCGGAACACCCAGGTCAAAGAGGAACAGCCTTTTGCTTGACTTTCCGAGTGAGAGACTGAGAACATGCACTTGGTTTCAGGAAGAAATTTTTTTTGTCAGAGAGCACTAACCACAGGAACATACTATATATATCTTGCCTACAGTTAGCAGCTTTATTATGGAGCATATATATACTCCTAGGAGTACTGCATTAGTTAGTATGCTTAAGCGTGCTTTCTTTTGATATACATATAAGTGTAGTAGACAGTCTTTTGACTGCGTTTATCTATGTAGTCATAGCATGAACATTTCAACATTGTCAAACAATAGTTATAGTACAACTTTCCAGCTACCGATACCAAGTGAAATTACCGTTGATGATGGGCATTACCTCGAGCAGATACGATGTGATGGCGATCCCGGAAAGTTGGCCGGCCGGCCGGAAGCAAGCAAGCATTTCAAAATGGCCCGTTTTCAGCAGGGGACGGCAAGTGTCTAGCCTAGGCAGTCAAACTTCAATTCAGTGTTGCATACATGGCACATGCGATGCTGATGCAGGAAGCCAAACGTATCCGAGACTGACAGCATACAGCAAGTACTAGCTCGATCTACCAGTGGTTTGGTTACTGAACGAAGATGCATATGCATGCAGAGGGGGAGACGGCGTGGCATTCAGGTGATCGATCCCTTGTCTTGCTCTCCACAGTACTTGTAAGCAGAAACGAACAAGGCCTTAAGCTCAGCAAGTACTTAACAAGTAGTATTTAACGAAACACTGCCCCCACAAACCTAATCCCAACCTACTACCTCGAGCGAGCAAGACAGTTCCATTAGCATGATTCGGAGAATGCGCCAACGCTGTCACCTTTTTCAAAGTTCAAATCCAAACTCTACTACATGTTCCTACAGCCTGAGCCTTTCCGGCTCCGTGCATGCATGGATCATTCACTTTTGTAAGCTCTCTCTAGCTTGGAGAAAAGGCGGAGCTCCTGCTCCAACTCCAAGGTAGCAATTCCAACGTACCACTACTCGTATCTTATCTAGGACTAGGACTACCTAATTTGCTTGTGACTTGAGCGCACACTAGATGCCATTGCTTCCGAGTTGACAGCACTACTACTCGTCCCAAAAAAGAATGTCGAGCAAGTCAAATATTTTTTGTTTTGTTCAAATTTATAGAAAAAATAGTATCCACATTTATATCTCTAAAGAGATTTACTATGGAAATATGTTTCACGATTAGTCTAATAGCACTTAGTATTTAACACTATGTATATAATCCCTCTGTCCCAAAATAACTTACGTTTATGTTTTAGGTTTGTTCTAAGCGAAACCATTTTAAGTTTGAACGTATTTATTGAAAACAACATTAATATTTATGACTAAATATTTTTTTTGATAAATCTAATCATACTTATTCGGTATCATAAATATTAATATATTTTTATTTAGGACAACATTGGTTATTTTAGGATGAAGACAGTACATGTTAGTACTTTTAGGGTTAATTCAACTTAAAATTATTTAACCCCTCTACAAACAAGAATTGCACTCTTGCACACCAGCCGGTTTGGTTTGGACCTGCTGATCTGATTCTGATAGTAGGGCCAGGGGTGAAAAGCCAGGCAGCAAGCTAAAAAGGGCTCAAATCCCAAGCTAGTGACGTGCTGCACATAGAGAAGAGAAAGAGAGGCACAGCACTCTGTAGCCATCTTCCATTCCTTTTTCCCATTGACCTCTTGCGCAGCCACAGCTACAAAAGTGATTCTTTTGAGGACGCTTGTGCCTGCCTCTGCCTGCCTTGTGGTATGGTGGTGTATGATGCAGAACTACTGCCAGAGAGCGTCCATACGTACACATGTAGTAGGAGTAATGCTCACTCACAGGAGAATTTATATCGACCCCTCACTCACCCTGCTTGGTGAATTGTTTGATTTTCCAGCCTGTTTTTTTTTTGTTGGTTTCAGTTAGGGTTATCAACCCGTCAACAGTGTTTTTCCTCTCACAGCAAACCAGCATCAGCTGAGCTTATCGGCATTGTCGGGTTCATAAATCCGGGGTCCCTCATAGACCTACTTCTCAGCAAAAGCTCGGCCCAGCAGACGACGTTGCGAACGACGCGCAACTCCTGGGCCGGCCCAAATACCTAACGACTCCAGCCCGCCTCTCCGACCGGAAGGCTTTGCCAAGGAGGAACGATGCTCGCCTCCGACTTCGGCCCGCCTCTCCGACCGGCGCTCGCTTCCGACTCCGGCCCGCCCCTCCGACCGATAGACCTGGCCAAAGAGGAATGACGCTCGCTTCGGGCTTCGACCCGCGTCTTCGACCAGGGATGCACCGAACCTCTGCTTACAGCTCTTATCTGACTGACGCAGTCGGAGACGACTGGGATCAACCGATCGGGGATGCCCGCTCGGTGAGGACCCAGGAAACGAGCGGTGCAAGTAAGGCAGGGCGCTCAAGTCAACCGCAATACCAAGGACCGTACACTGTACACCTACAGCACAGTACCGACAGGGCATGTCAGAAGGGTGCCCTGCCACCTTTCAGGCATGTTAGAGCCCTAGCAGTGTTGTGGGCGTCGACGTTTGCCCTACAGTGTTGTGGCCGCCCTCAACTCTCATACCAGGCGAACACGGTAACCCCCCATGCCTCTGGGCACCAACAGTATGGTAGGCGCCGACATCTGCCATACCAGCAGAAGACAACGGAACCTCCCACATGCATCTGACATTAACAGTGTTGTGGGCGCCTACAATCATGATTGTACCCGATGGCGTGGACAACAAAACTTAATAGCATACATAAACTCTCACTCTCCCACTTGTAAGGCCATCCCCTTCATCTATAAAAGGGGATGCGCTCTCTCCCAATGAGGGGGATCCAGACAGAGATCAATTAGACAGATACACAGACGACAACTCCAACATGACTCGAACGACCAACGATCGATTCACCTCTTGCTAGCTTTAGACACTCTAAAGCTACACAGAGTACACACTCGAATACTTAGCGCATGTAGGAGCTCTCGTCACTCTCGACCCTTTAGTTCGGAGTTCGACCGGGCCTCTTGCACCCCAATCTTTCTTCCTCTCGTTTGTAACCCCACAGCAAACTTCGAGCACCTGGGCTCAGAAATAAAGTCACCGACCGACTCAATCTGAACGTAGGGTACGTTGCCTGAACCAGTCTAAACTCTGTGTCATTAAGTGTTATGCCATATCCGATCATATGACAAAACTATAAACATTTACGTGTTAGTCACTTTTTACAACCACAGTCGTGTCACTTGGCTGTACCTGTATCCGTACATGGCTAGAACAGGAGCTGGTTGTTTTAATTTGTTTGGCAGGATGTCTCGTTTTTCAGCACACAGCAAGTGTAGTAGTGTGCTACTAGTAGTAATAAATACTGAAGTGGTTGGTGCTGGTGTTACAATTTAAGCGCCCTTTTGACGTGTAGCCACTGTCAATTTGTGCCGAGCCTGACCTCACGTTGCTTGTCCTGCTATGAGCTCTTGACTGTCACAGCGCATTGCTTGCGTGCCTGTTTTGCCAACTCTCCAGATTTTGAAACGAAAACATGCATGCATTTTTCAAATGGTGTTGGTGTTTGATGTCATGCATGCAGATGACAACAAATCAGCTTAAATATCAGCAGTATTTTTCAGCAAACGAATAGTATTTTTCTATCACAATAAATTAGTATAAGCTAAATTTCAGCTGAACAAACGGGCCAATACCCACTCCTAGTTGCTTCACGTCAGGGTTGATAGGTCGGTCCGTTTTGAAATTTCAGTTGATTGACAAGCCCTCACCTCACTCAACCAACGGTGTTGGTGTTGGTGTTGCCTTTTGCCGACACAAACAAATAATGTGACACGAGCGAGCACAAGGAGTAGTACTCCAGTACGTGCAGTGTTGCCATCATCATCGTCATGGTTTCTAAAGTCCAAATGATTGGCTGATCCCCGATTGAAAATCAAACGGCCGCACAGGAACAGCACGCACATGCAGTGCAGGGGCCTCTCTAGGAGTCTAGGAGTAGTATCTATGTTTCAGCTACCAAACAAAGCCATGACACTGTCTCTGATAGTCTGATCTCTGGTCAAACAAATCCCAAATCCAGTTCCAAATCTGAAGTTGGCTCAGCTTCAGAAGCTTACTAAACTCACAGTGCACGGTCCCTGTCATCCACATGACCACATCCACGAAATTACAGACCAAAATCAGTCAATGTGAAATGGATTAACAAGGAAGATTAATCATGCATGAACAGTTGCACAGCTACGATTACAACAAGCTCCATTCATTAACCCAGGGCGCACTCTTAACAAGCTTATTGATGACGATGGACGACGAAGCTGGTACTGGTAGCTATGTAGCAGTAGCAGCAGCAGCAGCAAGTGCCGGTGCCGCTTCCGGCTAGCCGCCGTGGACGACGACCCAGATGTCGGAGAATGCCTGGAGGATGACGGGGTGGTGGCGCGGCGCGTTGAGGGAGAGGTAGGAGCGCAGCAGGCGCTCCATGTCCGGCGGGCCGAACAGCTGCCGCCCCACGATCATCTCCACCATGGACGAGCGGAAGTCGGCGTACGGGTCCCGGGAGCGCTTCACCACCGCGAACCCCCTGCGCACCTGCTCCTCCGCCGCCGACACCACGGGGCGGAACCCGTCGCGGACGCCGCACGTGTCGCAGCTGCTCGCCGCGCGCCGGTGCTGGCGCTGACGCCTGGCGCTGGCGGGATGGACCTGGCTCTGGCGACCATGGCCCGGTTTCGTCGTCGTCGGTGCTCTCGGTGGCTTGTGCGGCTTGCTACTGCCGGAGGACGCTGCAGGGGGTTTGGTCTTCGCCGTAGTCGTCGTCTTCTTCTTCTGTTTCTTGGTGTAGAACTCGGAGGAGTCGGAGGAGAAGCTTCGCGAGGACGAGAAGAAGGTCTCCGCCGACTCGCCGGCCAGCCTCTTGCTGCTGCAAACACCGCGGCCTGCGAGGTCGTCCTCGGCGTCGCTGCTGAGCACGTCGGTGTCGGCGTCCTCGTCGTCGGAGCTGCTGAAGCCGTAGGGGTTGGAGAGCAGCTTCATCCTGATCATCGTCTTGTCGTTCTTGGCGCCGCCGCCGCCGAGCGGGCGGTGGTGACTACCGTACTCGTCGCGCGGGCTCTTCTTCTCCTTCCCCTCCTTGTCCCTGCTCCTCTCCGCCAGAGCCGGCGCGTCGACGGAGAAGCGGCGGCGGTGGTGGAGGCGGTCGACGGCGGTGGAGAAGGACTCGGTGCGGCCGACGAGGTCGCGCCGCGAGGAGGCGAGGAACGAGTCTCTGTCGGCGGCGGCGGCCGGGGCCAGCAGCGCGCGGCTGGAGGAGCACGCGGAGGCCGCCGCGGGAGGCGGCGGCAGAGACTTAGCCGTGGACGCGGCTCTTACGCCTCCAGCGCCGGCGGGAGACGAGGAGGCGCAGGAGGACGCGCCGGCGGTGGTGTTGCAGGTGGAGCGGAGCAGCGAGCCCGGGCGGAACATCCGGGCCAGGCGGTCCCGGAGCCGGCTGCTGCTCCTCCCGCCGCCCCCGTGGTCCATTGCCGACGCCGCTGCTGCTGGCTCGGGGCGGCGGTGGTGCGGTGGTGGTTCTTGGAGCAGTGGAGGTGGAGCGCCGCCGGCCGGGCTGCGAGTGTGGTGGTGGACTGGTGGTTATATATAGCGGGAAGCGTGCGAGGGAACCGCGGCGGCGTCGTGCGTTTTGAATTGGATTGGCTAGGTGAGTGGTGAGTGCGTCCGTCCGCGCACTAGGAAACGTGAGAAAAAGCAGGTCGACGGAGAGGACTGGGCGTAGACGGTAGTAGTAGTACGACTGCTGATCATGCATCCTGGGTTACGGATAATCGCACTCTGACAGAGATTCCTCCGCGTGTTACGCTTTTCGCGATTAGCCTCCGATCCTGACACGGACTGTTCTGTCGTTTTTTGCTCGTATATGTATATATTGTGTTCCTGTGTTTATAATAAAAAGATAAAAAGGGCGCTGTTTTTAGGGCGGAGAGGGGGAAAATAGGAAAAAACAAAAGACACTTTTTTTTAATTATGGAAATTGGATTTGAATGAATGATGAAAATGAAGAGGTTGAAGAGGCCGTGCATTTTTGGCTTGGAATCATCAACATCATCTCCCATGATGACGGGCAGTGGTCCAGTGGACGAAGAAGGATCGGTGAGCAGCCGGCCGGAGCATCCGCGATGCGGCACTTGCGATCAAGGACGTGCCACGGGGACGGACGGACAACGTGTCCTGTTGTGTCAGCGGCTCCGGCAGGGGTACCTGTCCAGGGTGCCCGTACCGCCGCGCCGCGCCGCGCCAGCCGTGCTCTGCTCACTCACTCCGCAGTCCGACCAGGTTCAGGCCTTCAGGGAGGGGGTGCCGACTGCCGGCCGATGGGGCCGCCGACGCCGACGGCTCGGAGCCGGAGCGCGGAGCACGCCGGCCGCTGCACCTCACCCGACACGCGCCGTGGCCGTGCTGTTGGCCTCTTGCCCGTGTCCCGCCCCACCTCGCTTGGTTTCGGTCACACGATCACCTCGCCGGCCGCGCCCGCCCAAGGCCTGTAGCTGCGTCGCCACGACTGAGATGCTAGGTCGTAGCAGGCAATCAGTAAGCTCGGAGTCTGCCTAGCCAGGCGATTCAATTCTAGTCTGCAGCATGTAGGAGTATATATGCTGGTACAATTGTACTGTGCTGCACTGTACTCTGTAGTAACTCCTGCCTGACGAAGCTCCTCCCCTTTTTTACCTAGAGTAAAGTTTTATAGGCTCATGACCTCAACCGGTAGGAACGTGCCCTGTTGCTCTTTCAAAACAAAACTCACCATCCTCTCTGCTCTGTGCTCGGCAAAAAAAGGGCCTATATCATGGCTATATATATCGTCGGGTGCACTGATCTATATGCGTAGGACGTGTTTGGTTTGAATCCTTTGCCTTGGCACCCCCAGGCAACCGCGTAACCACATCCAACGACCGGCGTTAATATGTCTGGCCCAGACGTGTTTTACAGGTAATGTCTGGTCTAGGCATGTGTTTAAAGGTTGGCGGGAACCAAACATGCCTCAAAATCAACGGCTTGTTAGCTGCCTGGTCAAGACAGAGGTGCCTGGACGACGAACCAAAAACACCCACATTCTTTGTGGTAGCTGCTACTACTGCTGACAATCAATTCATAACAGGAAATGCTTTGCACTGGATATGTATGTAAATTTCGGCCATGTTTAGTTCCCAAAAATTTTCAACCCAAAATATCATATTGAATCTTGCGGCACATGCATGGAGCATTAAATGTAGACGAAAAAAAACTAATTGCACAGTTTGGTTGGAAATCGCGAGACGAATCTTTTAAACCTAATTAGTCCATGAAAAGCCTTAAGTGCTACAGTAACCCACATGTGCTAATGACCGATTAATTAGTATCGTTAGATTCGTCTCACAGTTTCCTGATGGATTCTGTAATTTGTTTTTTTATTAGTATCAAAAACCCATCACGACATCCTTCCAACACATTCAACGGGACATCCAAAAAAAAAATTCAACTTATGTACGGTCTGTCTCCATTAAACAGCGTGGGAATTGGGAGGCGAGCTTTGGATACAACAAGACTAGCTGTAGCTGCAAACCCTAGCAGACGTGCCGCGTGCTCAGACACGTCTACATTCCAGCGTTCCACGCCGATCGATCGCCATGAATTCCCTGCAGGCTGCAGCAGCATCGTCGTCCAACGTTCTTCGGATCCACCACCACAGGTGGGTGGCTCTGGATCCCAAGGAATCAACAAGCCTGCAGCCTACAGTACTATACTGCTCAGCAGTTGAAGGCTTCCTGGCTAGCTCTTGCTTGCAACATTTGAAATGGATGGCCTCATTATTATTTCCCCTGCCAGACTACTGCACTTCTGCCGCTAGCTGCACAAAGAACATACTACTAGCTCACAGGCTAATTCCACATGCATTGCTCCCTTTGCAAATACTCCTCCACGTGTACTGCTAATAATCTCAGAAAACCTAATTATGCACACTAGTTATTTTGTAAATATGGAGCCTATCTATAGCCTAGCTGCACTCTGCTCTGCTCTGCTCGCCAAGCCCCTTGCTGGTGCAAAATGCAGGTAGCGCAGCATGCACTGCACCTGCCTCATCGTTGGCACACACGCATACGTATTGGGCAATGATAGCTGCTGCATCCATCAGACTGTCCACCGTTTGGTTACAGGTCCCTATCCTAGCATTACTGTGCATGAGGCAGCTAGCTATGCGTCGTTATCTCCCCTCTAAACCAGCCTACTACCCTGCTGTCTCATCTCCTAGTACGTACTCTACCAGAAGTACCAGTGTACAACAATATGCATGGATGCAGGCAGCACCATGCTCTCGTGGTCTAGTAGCTAGACATCATTCAGAGGACGACTTGCGGAAAAGAAAAGGAAAACAACTGCATGCATGCAACTGTGCAAGTGCAACCCTGTATGTATATAAATATAAATAAACAGTATGCTTGCTTCTGGAAGCTCTTTAAAGAACTTATTATGATGCCCATTTCAGTAGTTTATTACGTCGTCTATGTGTTTGCATACATGTCTATCAATAAGTTAGCTGAAGTTGTTTTGTTGTGAGAGAAAAATACCAACAGACCCAAGGTCTGTACGAGTGCATCTCCTTTGTCCAAAAACCAGTGTAGGTCAATGAGCACTAGCTCGCACACAGCACACAGCAGCAACAGGCTTCAATTCTCTCAACAGTGCAGTGAGCGAGCAATGCAAGCAAGCAGACACGAAGCAGACCCATCACCCATTGGGCCATGCATGGTGGAATTTCTCAACATGTACGTATCTGTAATAGTAATATGGCTGTGGATCGAGCATTGGAATTCATGCCTTGTTTAGATTGCAAGTTTTTTCACTCTCTCTCCATCATATCAAATCTTTGGACACATGCATAGAATATTAAATGTAGATAAAAAAAATAACTAATTACACAGTTTGATTGTAAATTACGAGACGAATCTTTTGAGCCTAGTTATGTCATGATTGGACAATAATTATCAAATACAAACGAAAGTGCTACACTGTCAAATACTGATTCATAACCTTAATCTAAACAAGACCTCAAAAGAGAAGGAAGGAACGACGACGGCAGGCGGCGGCAGCAGCAGTAGTAGGGTGGCCTCTCTCGGCCCGGATTTGAAAATGAAAACTGATGGGTTCCCCGATCCACAACATCAAATCACCCTGTTGGCAGCAGGGGTCCTTTTGCCTCTGTAGTCCCTTTTCGATCATCATCTCCAAGACCCCAACAGCATCTCCGACTGTATAGTACATAGGCCGGTCTGTTCCTGGATGGCTGTGATGTAGTACACATCAGTATGTACATGCATCGATCGTATCATCGTCACAACTTCACAAGGCCGGCCTGTCCGCCTGTACGTGTGCTTCTTGCCTACTGACAAGTAGGGGAAAAGAAGGGCAGCATATGCAGCTTGCCAGCCAGCAGTACAAGGTGTTTGGTTTGAGCTACTAAACTTTAGTAGCTACTAAACGGTTTAGTTATTTTTAGTAACTCCAGAGTTACCAGAGATGACTAAAGTTCTTTTAGCAGCTTTTAGTCATAGTGTTTGGTTAAAAAGTTACTAAAGTAACTAAAAACTACTAAATTTAGTAGCTACTAGACGAACCAAACAGACCCTACCTTATACATACAGCAATACACATGCTTGCATTGCATGCGTGATACGTATCCTGCTCCCTGCAGCTGCACACACACCGCGCAGTGTATGCGTACAGTGCACCACTACTCTATTGTCGATGCTTCATGCATGCAAATAAATATATGATGACGGATCGCTGGAGATGATGTGGCACTTCACTGGTACGTGTGTGTGTGTCGTAGTAGACTCGTAGCCACTACCTAGTGCCCACTATAGGCCACTAGCCAAGCCAGTAGTGGAGGTAGCTGCAGCTGCATGCATGGCGATCGATCGGAACAGTGCTCCGATTCGGCCGTAAAGGTGAAACACGCACGGGAGCTGTACGTGCTGGACGTCACGTACGTCAACGAGCAACAGTGGACGCACGCAACGCAGCGATGGAGACCCGTGCTGCGCTGCTGGTGCGGGTGCGGGTGGTGCCATGCCTGCCCGCCTGTCTGCCTCTCCCCTTGCATGGATGTGTGCACACGGAAAGGAAGAATAGTACGTACGTACGTGTGTACGGTATGTAGACGCGTTCATCATGCACTTTATCTCTCTCTCTCTCTCTCTCTCTTGTTGGGGGCTTTGGGGCTGCAACGGTGGGCCTCAGTCCATGGAACCAATAAGATAATTGCAAATTAATAAATGTCGTCGCTGTTGGCTTATTGTAAAACACATGCTGCCTTTTATTTACCCTAACCAATCTATATATTTTAATTTATATATATACAAGGCCTAGTGTGACATGATGTGATCTCCCAAGTACACTTTTACCATTCTTCGTTTGTTTTATTATGTTTCTTTTATTTTATGATATGATTAAGATTTGATAACCATTAGATAGTACATTTAATTATA